TCGCTTAAATCCTTTAATGACCCTAAACAATTTGCCTATAAGCACAGTAGAAGCACTTTAGATGCAGCTGCCGTCTTATATCATAACATTGCTTCCAGTCTAGACAAGGGGGCTAAATTTGTTCGTTGCGCCTTCCTAGACTATACATCTGCTTTCGACTCGGTCCCTAGGGACATCTTATTAAATAAACTTGCTGCTAGTCAAACAGAATGTTGGGCTGTTAACTGGTTACATTCCTATTTCTCAGATAGAAAGCAGTACACCGTATATAAAGGGAAGTCTTCCACTTCATTGCCTACTGAAGCTGGTGTCCCTCAAGGTGCTGTTCTTTCTCCTTTTCTTTTTTCTTTCTTCTTGCATGACTTGCCTCACTCTGATGAAATAAACTTTGTGAAGTACGCTGATGATTTAACGGTTTCAATGGCTGTTAACTCCCAGCTAGATTGTACTAAAATAAATAGCTTTCTATCGGAAGTCAGCAAATGGTCTGAGTCTAACGGTCTTAAACTGAATCCTTCTAAGTGTCAAACTGTTGATTTCAGCTTAAGATGTAAACGACAGTTAAAAGAAGTCATCGATTCTCATGACACTTGTAAAATTGACGACAATGATATAGGAATCAAATCAGAAATTAAGTATCTTGGACTCATTCTCTCTTCTGATCTCTCCTGGTCTTCCCATGTCTTAGCAATCTCCAGTAAAATATTCCGCCTGACATTTTACATTAAGAAGTTAAGACACTCGGGTATAACTCAACCCCTCCTCTTACAGTTCATAAACTCTTGCATCCTACCTATTCTTCTTTATTGTTCACCCTTATTCTTTCCTGGTTTGCTTAAAAAGGACTATGTCACAATTCGTAGAATACTGAAGACTGTCAGTAGGGTGAGTGGTGTCCCAGTGGACCACATAGTTAACGTCGTTGTCGATAGGCACTTGACTTCGTGCAATAAATTTGCTAAAGGGATTTTGTCTGACTTGGAGCATCCGCTTTACCCTCAGCTTTCACCTTGCATCTCCTCAGGTAGAACAAGGAGTAACTTCAGAAAACTGTATGCTCGCACGTCTAAGTATAAGAATTCTATGATACCATACTTGGCACGTATTTTATGTGATGAAAATAGTGTCAGGCAAGAATTAACTAACCTTTTTTCATCTAGTAAATAAACAATTTCCTCCATCCATCCTTATATACCTTCAAGTTTTACTTTTATTACTTCTATTATATTTATGGTCCTGTTACTTCTCTGTTTTACTCTCATAATTGCAAACACCAACTTATCTCCATGACGGCTGTAATCTTTGTTTTTCCCCTCACCATATCATGTAAAGAGAACATTATATTCAATATTTTTAAACATGTTAGGATTTCTATACCACATTGCCAATACTGTGTGACACAAGCCAACGGCAATTTTCACTTGTTATTATTATTACCCTAGCTGTTATCATTATTATTGCTATTTCCATTTTATATGCTGCATGTTTTTGACACTACCTCTATTGTAAATGTGGAAAATTTTCTGTGTGATTAATTTTATTTATAATTTGAGGAAATTAGATGCAATATTGTGATTAATGCTGAAAATTCCATTCTGTATCACAAGTACTGTTTTTGGAATAAAGTAAATCATTATTATTATTATTATTATTAAAATTTGGACTTTCTTTCCTATGTTGAGTAATGTAGATGTCCGCAATGATATCAGGGTAATAAACGCCTTTCCAGTCCCGACTGGCTTTGACGTCCTTATGAGTGCTGCCTTCCTGTAGTTGAAATGGTGCTTCTGAGATAATTAAAGATGGACAACTTCCTTTAGATTTCTCCCATTAATGGTGACCAAAACCTTTGACTGTAGTTCAAGATGAAGACAACCGGTTAACACGCCTTCAATCTGAATGAAAACAGACAGAAAGAGCGAGTAAGGCCGTCTACTGTTTATATTACTTCGATCTGACTAGCAGGCACTAGTGCTTGATGTGAGTGATATACAACTACTCATATTTGTGAACCAGTAGTACACGGCAGACTAAATAACCGAAATTTTTGTAGAGATAATCAGTCATAATGTGCTTATCCAATGATAGACTTCGACATATCGCTTCCACTCAATCACTTTAAATAAGATGACCAACACTTTATAAAAGCACTGAACAAGAACTTTTCTCATAGGTGTTTTGACTATTTCGTCACATGAGAAAATTTACAAAAGAATAGTTTCCACCCATTGTTTGTCATTCAAGCAGACAAAATCATTCAACCCTGTTAAATATTATTTGTTTTGAGATATACTGTGATTTGTGTTCATACACAAATACGCATGAAAAAAATTCTAAATGGAATTTCCACTACGTAGCTATTTTTAAAGTATTTATAGAATTGTCACAAGAATTAATGATATACATGTGAAATATACTCACTGTACTAACCTTCTAAAGGTAGTACATAACTGTCATAAGAATATCATAAAACAAATCATGCGAAATGATATGTAACACGAGAAAACAATGTGCTTTTTACTATAAACTCCTTATGCATGCAAAGGCCCACATGTCCAACCACCCTCGTTTTACAACCACAGAAACAAACCAAATATGACAGAACTCCGTTTAGTTTCCTAATTTAAAAAACAAAGTGAATAGTTTGTCTCTGTACATTAATAGACACTGTCAAGCTAAACAGGAAAGGTAATTTCGTCGTGCGACTATCTTTTTCGTCTCATGAAACCGAACTGAATTAGACTTCAAAACAATGATCAGTGATGAAAACTATTATCTACGAGTTTTTGTATTGTGAAATAAATTACAAATTTCATTGATTCTACGAACAAGGGTAAGCTTTTGATTTTGCTGCATTACTTTGGGGTAAAACTGAAAATCTAATTACAATTTTGGCTGTTGTAAATAAATAAATAAATAATTGTTTTAGTCCTTATCTAAAAGTGGCATGAGAGCACAAAGTTAGCTGAGGTAACAATTAACCAGCAAATAATTCAACTATCCGACAGCTGAATTGACTAATTTGTATTAGAATTTTCCGACTTATTTTTACACTATACAGTTGAAATAGCTTCTATAGAAGAGTGGAAGTTGCTTGTCAAATAATTATAGTCATCAAACTGATTTTAGGTGGTATTCATGAGCAGATTAATACCGCTAGATTCAGTATGTGCGTTCTGGATGACGACGTTCTACTTAGAAAGATTTGAAGACATGAACACTAAACACTAACACACTATTTGGTGTTTGAAACTATGGGTGCAGGGTTCGAATACCAGTGAAAGTACCATTTCCCATTCATGAAGTAGATGCATTCAGCTGACAAGTCCCAAATAGGACTAAATGAGCATCCTGGACTCCCCTGTTAGTCTCCATGAATCAAAATAACACTATTTTAATCTTCAAACACCGTCGAAATGTCCGAGTACTGGGAACTGATATGTCAACAGAGACTGGGCTTTTCGGCTCAATATAATTAATTAATTGACTAACGGGAAATTCAAATTAACCTCAATACAAAAGAGATGTTATTTTCTGAGCTTGAATGAATTATTGACACGGGCTGGGACAAAGGAAGAAATCTGAGATAATGTTAACCATTATTGCAAAAGAGGAAACAAATGTACACGAAGTACGTAGGAGTAAAAGTTTAAAAAACAACTGGCAGTTACTGAATTCTTCATTCTACAAATATTTAAAAAAGAAAATGAATTCTTTTAGAGTGACTGCAACGCCTAAAAGGCAATTGAGTAGGAAAGCAAGTGTAAGTGGTGACTACTCTGAACTTATCCATTCTTAGAAGAAATTTGTCGCCTGAGGATGAAGGTCAGACGGTAAAGAGCAATACAGATCATTCAGAGACGATACGTTCAAACTGACTGATTATTGATGAATCAAAGTGATAATCCACACAAAAGCTGTTACGCTTCTGAAAACAAACAAAATAGGACATAGTCGGCGGCCTGCTTGAGAATCACTGGGCTACCGAAAATTTCCATCCATCATAATGCTTAAACTCTTCAGCATTTCTGATTGTTTTAATCCTTTAACTATATCCGCTTATCACTACATAAACTTGTGCAGTTTTAATTGGCTTCCAACAAAGCGATGTACAGTTGTTGAGGAAAATATATCGTAGACAACTGGATCTCTCTTCCTATGAAGTAACACTCCGTCAAAAGATAAACTGCAGGTTAGTCTTAGTTGTAGATCCTGTACGAAGAGAAAATATTTCGAAACTAAATAAGCTGGGAATTTCTTCACTGTGTCTAACATATTTTCGGAAACAAAGCTTCATTATTATTGAAAAAACCCTAACCACCATAGACAAACACGAAAGGGATAGAAAGAATAACTGCACGAAGGTTAATGAAGCCTTTTAGGATTTAGAAGATGAAAAGGAGCGTGAATATACCTGATCCACACTATGAACGATTTTCAATAATCAGCTATTGATTCTTAGAGTTTCGAGGATCCAAGCCCCATAATCTACACCCGAATATGTGATTCAAACCAATAGTCAATGACTTTATGGATTGGTGCCTAGTTTCGATTTGACTACTCTTAACTCTCTTCCAGTCTAATCCAAATTCAGATAACACTGCTCGTCAAGGCAGCAGCTTGGTGGACAACATACCCGAGAAAAGGATGAAACAAGCTGCCAGATATCAAACGAAAATAGCTGACAAAGTGAAATGATTCCCATGAGAGATCTTAGGATAAATTAAAGGTAGTGCAGGTATGAATACAAATGTAGTGAATACTGCCTGCTTGAAAATAAGAATTTAGAATAGTTTGACAGTATTCAACAGTGGATCATAGCGAATGTCTAAAATTGTTCTCATTGAAATAAAGCACCTACGACACACAGAGTTGTTTGTAGACAGTGTTTAATCATGATTACTTTTTTTCGATGAAGCACGTACAATTACTTTAGAAAAAGTTACAAAAAATTTAAGAAAAATATTTAGTGGAACTTAGGAGAATTTATGAAAACTCACATGCTTCTTAGTCCAACAGAATTCTTCCTTCTAGCACCTAAAGTATTTGTATGTTCCTTTTGGTGTGGTGGCTGGGAATAGCTATGACTATCAAGTGGAAATGGACCGTAACACTGAGCTTCTGAAGGCAAAACGGAGGCTAAAGGCACTGCTTGGTCAAAATTAGAAAACAGTTCATTTAAACCAGATTGAACGGCAGAAAAGAAAGATTCAGAGACACTAGGAGACTTTTGGACACACCGTTCATAATTATTATTCATTGATACTTGTTGAAAACGAGAGTCACGTTCTCCTCGAAGCCTCTCCGCTAAACGCACTGCATCTTGTAATTCCAAGAATCTTTCTTTATAGCTATTACGCTCCGCTATTACGCGTGCCATTTCTCGTTTAGTGAAACAAGCTTCGCCAAATTTGGTCACCTAAATTATTTTTCATATATACAATAAATACTCAGTAAGGTATAAAAGCATTCAGAATTATTTAAAGCAATATATTAAAGCATAAGTCCGTCTGTGCGTCGGTGGCACAGTGGTTAGGACTCTCGCCGATCATGCACATGGTCCAAGGTTCGACCCCCTGCCGACGCACATCTGATATCTATGGTCGGCCTGTGAAATTTGGGCTACCGATATCACATGCTGAAAATTCCATACTTGTACCAAAAATACAGTGTAGAATTAGGCGGCAATCAGTAAAAAAAATAATGATTACCAATGCACGCCAAAAATGACTAAATGGTGTTCAAAGCCTCCGCCAAGTAAATCCTATTCACTGCCTTCATCCAGTGGGAGTGAAAGGGTCAACACAAACATCCAGTGCTTACAATCGGACTGGTGGATATGCTGGTCTACCTAGGAGAGCTGGAAAACCCTGATTCCAAACTTGTACATAGGCTCCAGAATCTCAAAGGATCGAGTGACGTATGACCTTGTTTTGGTCACGGTAATCATGGGAACGTAGATCCACTGCCTTGTGGGTCAGACTTCAAGTCAAAGCCTCGGCGTATAGCCGCTTAGGTTAACCATGTGCTTCTATCTGGAGGTCTGAGCAGTATCCTAGTCATCGTACAAACCATGAGATTTCGTAAGGCGCATCTCTTGGTGCCTATAATGTGTCCGGTTTGTTTTAATAGGTGATAATACGGCATATCCGCAATATTAAATGCAAAATCGAGTATGATAAAAAGAAGATAAGCAATAATTGGTGAATTGAAACATACTCTTTTCATAGAAATAGATGCATCACCATCGTTTTCATTTTTAGTTAAAGTATTCTCTGGCGAAATACTATTTAAGTTATCTAAAGATTTATTACGATGTTTCGATGGATAATTTGTATCTTCAATGCAATCTACAGTATTTAAAGTCCAACAAGATTTGGATTGCTGTACTGGTGCCACTGATAGTTTAGATGAATGCCCATCAGCTTCATTGACATCTTCGTAAACTTTAAGACGAGCAGTTAAACTCGATATTTGATCACGACATTCATAAACCAAACGTGATAGACGATTAGCTTCAGATTTAATATTGTCTCGATCCATACGTATGCCATGAACTTCTTGCATTAACAAGGCTTTCTCCCTATTATATTTAAAAATACAGTGTTCAATGAAGCATAGTTCCTAACATGGATAATAATCACACATTAAAACTAGACATAATATTAAAACAAAAAATACCGAACCATTCATTTTCAACACGCGTGATAGTTGAAATGAATCAGTCCTAATTCGGAGTATTTCCCATCTTAAATATTCTTTAACTATGGAATTTGTCAACACTTCTTTTACCAATAAATAAGCCTACGATTCTTCACTATTTGCCAGCATATATTATTATTACTGTTATTCATTCCTTGCGTTATGAGTGAAATATAAGAATTCAGCATCACATCTACATTTCGCTCGACCTTCAGACATCACTTTCGACTGGCTCCACATGACCATATACAGACTTTTACTTCCTCTTTACATGATCTCCCCCATGCGATCATCGGAGGCCCAACAAGTCGGTTTCCATTCATCTTTCAGTCGAGAGTCTCCCTGACGTGTGATTTCAGTCAACAGTCTATTAAGCGTAGTTCTAATCCATCTATATTTCCCTCCGCATATATATTGGGTAATAGAATATTAGTTTGTTCCCTGACTGACAGAGCTCCTTGTTACTTTTCCTTTCCTGCCTGTAGGCTGATCTTCAGTATCGAAGTGGTGAAGGTAGCTATTGATGGAAGTCTGCTAGAAAGCCTATTGGAAATGCTTTTGTGACGCAAGCCCTACGTCTCTCATTGATATATAGTGCACTGACTTGACGCATTAAGCTTGGAAATTTGGACCTACCTTACTATACTGAGTAAGGTAGGTCTCCACACCGGTTTCAGAATAGCGAACGCTTGTTCGAATTTCCCAATTCTGGCTGACTTCGACATATTCATCCTGCAGTTGAAAAAATGGTTCTGACATTAGTGAAAAGAGACAACTTCCTTCAGATTTCTCCCATTGATGGTGATTAGCGTGTGCTGTAGTAGGTCATGTATCTTCGCCAACCATATTTTCTCTTTCTTCACCTAAAGTCCTGCCTTTATTGTCTCATCTACCAAGTCGTTGATTTTCGGTGGTATGTCTTTGAATTTGTGCGATACGAGAAATAAATTCTCAGTGAATTCGGTAGCCTTTTGGTAGATCCAACATATATCCGACTTCGTATTCTTCGCTGTCACCTATATGATGCAGTCCACCACAATCGAGTAGATCATCAGCGACAGTAGACAACTGCGTCTTGGCGTCTTATATATATATATATATATATATATATATATATATATATATATATATATATATATAAGCCCCAAAAGCTTCATATGAAATAAAAAAACTTACCGTAAAACAATAGAAGCTTAATTTATTGCTCACAAACAATACTACTACGATGCCAAAATGAATAACTTTGATTTTAACCCAAGATTAAAACAACCCATTAATACTTCTTCACATTGAACAAAATTCAGAACTGGTAAATAAAAAGACAAGGATTTCATTCATTCACTGTTAGCTTCTTTTACTTATCATAGTGCAAGTGTAGCACACAGAATAGAATCGAATACTAAGCAGTCAAGTGCAATAAGTCGTCAGCTTAAATGATACTCTACTAACTTCTGCTCTCAAACAAAATAATGTAGGTAGTGTCCCAGTGTATGGAAATACTTAACGTTTTACTTACCCAGTAACTTCGTCTAGTTTTCGAATGAGGTCATCCTTTAAAACGTTTAGAGCGTTTCTGAAATTAGCGCAAATTTTAAGGGGAAAACAGATTAGTCCCAGTTTAATCGCTACTAAATACGCAATGCTAACACTTATAACATACTTATACAACACTTATGCTAATGAATAAGTATATTTAACAGTTCAAGCCACTATTGCCAAGTTAATTAATACACAGTGAGTATGTGATAAAGTAGCCTAGCAATAAGTCCCAAACCTATACACACAAAATAACTAGAAATTAACAATCGGTTACAGGCAATGGAGGATTTTCTTTACATCAACAGGATCACTATGTAGAGATGCCCAGACCGATAGCTGCTACCTTGACATGGTGGTCGGGCTTGCACATCGCGATGACCCAACAAGCTACACTGGTTGGAACATATGTTCCTGCAGGTCCTACCACACCAGGAAGGTTGTTAGGATAGCGATTAGACTAAAAGCACTTACCGGTATTGTGTAAGAATCTTTCTTACACTATGCTGGGGGTCTGAGGGCGAAGTCGTACTGATGGGGAACAGGAGTATGACAGCAGTGAGGTGTTTCCCTTAGATGACCAGCATGCCAGCTATGCTATCTCTCCACTCCAGAGAGAGGAGGTTAGAAAAGGTCGACCCCAAAAATTGTACATCCAGACTTACCCTGCGGTGGTCCGTAACCGGCGGTAAAATTACTAATACGGAACCAATCCCAGAAACCAGTTCATACAGGCCGTGTGTGACAGGCCTCAAGCAGTTGTCCACTGGGCCCTGCGGTCATGCAACACTAGCCCTTTTTCTGCTTCAGGTGTATCCGAAGAATTAATCAACTTCCACGGTGTGGGCAGCCGCAAGTAACAACCGCCCACACACTTCCAAAAGCACACGAAGCCTTCCTGAGCATCATTCTCCTTTACTCACATCACCTTCCTCATCTTGCTTCTCTACTACAGTTAGTACTATTCTGAAGGCCAATGAGTCATTTTCACTTCACTCTGTGAACACGAACAACGGTGAGAGCCATCAAAACACCCCAGATAGCCTTTTAAAGCCACGTCACCAACTTCATATTGGAGCTTTCAACGTCAATAACCCCTGCCAAATCGGACAACATGCATCACTAGCAAGAACTCTGGCATCTCAAGCCATGGATTTACATTGTGTTTCGGAGACACACATACAAGACTCGAGTGTGGTCATTCACTTAACCTCAACCTGGCCAAAATGGTGAATCTACAAAATTCACTTTAAGGGTGTCAGGAGACCCCTCAGCTAGTACGCGAGGACTCGCAGGTTTAGGGATAGCAATGAGTGTTAAGGCGGAAAAATCACTTCTCGACTGGATCCCAGTAGATAGTCGTATGTGTACGGTCCGTCTGAATGGGTCCGTTAAAAGAAGGAAAGGCGGCGCTACCCGTCGTTGTCTTCTCGTAGTCGCCGCTTACGCCTCAACAGACTGCAGTTCGGACGAACTAAAGGATGGCTTCTACTAGAAATTGTCTAGTCAACTGCCGAAAGCAAAACGTTCACATATAGTTGTTTTAGCAGGCAACTTCAATGACGAAGTAGGGAAGTTGTGCCAGACTGAGAAGTATGTAGGTGGTACGTACGGAGTCCCCTGCCGACGAACCGACAACGGTTATCGTCTTCTACAGTTCTGCACAGATAATCATCTGTTCCTACTCAGCACTAACTTTAGGCACAAAGAGAGACATTGTATAACCTGGCGACCTCCATCACCAAATCAACGCTGGACTCAGATAGACCACATAGCGATAGGGTATCTTTGACGAAGGTCAGTAGAAGACTGCCGCTCCTTCTCGAATACATGCGTAGACTCTGATCACGCTCTGGTTCGCGCACATTTATGCTTACGACTAAGCGGACATAAGAAATCGACGGCAGCGAAACAGTTACGTCCCCAACTAGATCGAGACTCTATGTCCCTATTTAAGGAAGAAATAGCGAAATGAGTGTCTGAGGTCGACAGCAGGACTCCACCTAAGGTAGCCTGGCACATCATACAGTTAGCTATAGACACAGCTGCAAAAGCTGTTAATAACCTGAAACCAAAACTTAGCAAGAAGTAGTGGATTTCTAGCACCTCATCGGAACTGATTGACAATGGAAGAATGATTCCGGCGAGCCCCGAATATGATGAGGAGCGAAAGCTGCTCAAATGCAAACTAACAAGAAGCCTTCGCAACGACAGTGAATAGTGGTGAGCGACAAAAGCAAAAGAGATGAAGAAAGCATCGACGATTGGTAACACCAGACAAATATTTAGACTTATCAGGGAAACAGGTGGTAAAAGGCAAACGGTAAGTGAAACAATCTCTGAGGAAGATTGCACTATAATTAGCTCCCAGGATAGACGACTAGCACGTTGGAAAGAACAGTTTGAGGAGCAGTTAGAATTGGCCTACAGCCACGCTCAACTAACTCAGCATGTAACACCTCCCTGAATGGGATATAGACACAGGTCCTCCGTCACTAACTGAGGTTAATAAGACGGCCACTAGTCTGAAACGAGGCGAAGCAGCAGGACCTGATGGAATGCGCGTCAGTGGCACAGTGGTTAGGACTCTCGCCCACCATGCACACGCCGACGCACACCTGATATCTATGGTTGGCCTGCAAAATTTGGGCTACCGATATCCACTCTGAAAATTCCATACTTGTACCAAAAATACGGTGTGGAATCAAGCTGTAATAAAAAAAATGACTCCAGAGGTGTTTAAGTACGGTGGAAACAGTTTTCTGTCTGCGTTAACTAAGGTAGTAGTAAGCGTCTGGGAACCAGAGGAAGTCCCGTCGGGTTGGTGATTATACCCATATACAAGAAGGGAGACAAGTCTTCCTGTGATAATCACAGAGGGATTAGCTTGACTAATATAGTATCTAAAGTCCTAGACTCAATAATATTGCGTAGACTAAGTGGTGCTCGGGAGGCACAAACACGAGAGAACCAGGCAGGCTTTAGACCAGGAAGAGGGTGTATTGATCATATCTTCACCCTTTGACAGATTCTAGAACATATGCATTCTTACCGGCATCCAACAATCATTATATTTCTTCACCTAAAGGTAACATTCGACCCTGTCGACCGAGAGGTACTCTGGCGATGCTTGGCTGTAAAGGGAATCCCGAGAAAATACATTGCACTGATCAAGGAACTCTACTCAAACTCATGTAGCTTACGGCGAGCTGTCATCTGAACTGGTGACGACTAGTGGTGTCCGTCAGGGATGCCCATTATCCCCATTTCTATTCAATTTCATCATAGATATCGTAGTAATTGACTCAACCCTAACTCACTTCAGAGAATCAGGGATTGACTTGCTACCAGGGAATAGAATATGCAGACGATATACTCCTTCTAGGCGAGGACGCTGAGAGAATGCAGTCTTCTGAACATACTGAGCTGCAATCTACGAATGTTTGGCATGCGATTCGCTCCCGCCAAATGCAAGATGATGTTACCGGACTGGACTACACTGACTCCTAGTTTAGAAATAGGGAGTGAAGTGGTAAAGCACGTTGACCGTTTCACTTATTTGGGGAGTACCATCAGCCTCAACGGGTTGATCTCTGACGAAATCTCAGCACGGATACAGAGGGCTAGTTTCGCATATTCCAATTTACGCCGTCTCTGGCGTAGACGCGATATCCGACTATCGACCAAAGGGCGAGTGTACTGCTCAGCAGTTCGCTCCGCCCTCCTTTATGGCTGTGAGACCTGGCCATTGAGAGTGGAAGACATGAAAAGCGTGACTAGCTGTCTTTGATCATGGGTGCCTGCGTTCTATCTCCCGTGTGAAGTGGTATAATAAGGTAAGCACATTGAGGTTAGGCATCGGTCGAGTTCTAGGTAAGGAGGGGAAGTCAATCGACGAGCTTGTGAAGTTACATCGACTGACATGGTTAGGAAACGTGTTACGAGACCTAGTCATCGCCTTCCTCGACGAGTAATGTTAGCTGATATAAGGTCAGGCTGGAAAAGAGCTAGCGGAGGTCAAACAGAAACATGGCACCAGTCAATGAAATCTACAACAGTTAGTTTAAGCCATGTAGGAAGGTGTAGACTTCCTGGTTGGGGTCCTCGGGACAGTAAAAATCAATGGTTGGAAACAATTGGTGATATGGCTCAAAATCGTTCTCAGTGATGGAGCAAATGCATCCACTCCTTGTGACTTACGATTTCCAATGAGACTACATTGTTCTTCGTTACTACTATTCCTTTGTCTCATACCTCTGTTTACTGTCTCTATTATACATTTCTTCTACTTTCTTCTTTTGCTATGTGTGATACATGGAGTGTGGCGACTTCAACTGCCGTACATTGGTGCAAAGCTCTATGTCGGAAACAGAGAGACAGACACGTTTTTAAATAATACCAAGTCATTTAAACTAATAGGTCAGCCCAAAATATATTTGCCTGAAATGTAAGTTGTAATATGGTATTTATGAATTCATAGGTCCTATGCTATTTCTTCTGCCATACTGGAGTACACAGTACCTAGTGGCTTTAGTCAGTCTGTTTGGCACGCCATAGACTCTATGTCCTTATGGTATGTTAAAAATGGGTGTTCTAGTAGCTAACTACTTATGGTCACTACTACACCTTTATTCAACCACTCTGATAGTTAGTCCCAAAAACAGTCCGGTATTAGATCATTCGGTACAAACATGCCACAATTTCAGTGTTGAAGAATCTTTCCCTATCACCCCTTTTGAGAAGATTGATGATTAGTAAGATGTTTTCCTGGGGGTTTATCTGGAACCTTTGAGCTTGTTGTTGACGTCTGTCGTTTCGTCTACCTGTTGGGTTTGCGGCTTCGATTTCGTCTGGAATTGTCTGACATTTTATGCTTCTTGACTGCATTGAATAGCAAATTTAGTGGGACATCAGCCAGATGCAAACGATCGAACCAATCAAGTCCCAAAAGATTTAAATCACTCTTGGTGACGTAACAAATTCCTGTGAATTTGATATTGCGGAATGAAACAGAACATTTGAGTTCACCAATTAGTTTGAGCCGCCCACCACAGGCGCTGAGAAGAGTCTGGGAAGTATTTGTGACAGGTGGTCTGCCAATATTATTCCAAATTTTCTCTGATATAACAGTAATATCAGAGGCAGTATCTAGCTGCAGACGTGTATCATGACCATTCATCTGAAGATCAAGATATTTCCGCATACCTGGTGTTGTAACTTGACAGGCTGCGAGTAGACTCAATGACCTCCTTGGAGATTTAGGACCAACAGTTTGTCGAGCTTTCGCTGGATTATGATATCTGGGTTTGCGTGGCTGACAAAATCCATTTTTATGACCAATGATTTTGCACTTGCTGCAACGATGATTTTTGTATGGACAAGACTTTACAAAGTGCCACGCGCCACAATGCCAGCATGGTGGTGGTGGGGTCTTCTTTGCAGTATTTTGTGAAGTTGGACGAGTATGTGTAGATTTCCGCGGAACATTAGAAGAAGGTGGGTCAGGACTGGATGATGAGAGATTTTCGCTCTTTCGTAATGCATGAATGTCAGAGCTTCTCGAAGGTGTTGATTCGACCAGGTGCGTGTCTTTCTGCAAATTAATCAGCCGTTGATATTCATCAGCTATGTCATGTAATGTTAACTTGGGATTTTGTCCTAGATGATTGAGCAGTCGAGTTCGGATATCTGTGAAACGAGGAGATTGAAGACTGCATATGAGAATCAAGGCTTTGAATTGATCATCTGTTAAGGACCTGAGTCGAAATCTCCCAGATTCTCGGTTGACTATGCCAACGTGAGTAAGAAAATCATCATTTTCATTCATTGTCAGCTTGAGGCAACGATAACGTATGCTGAATAATGAGGAGTGGTCTCCAAAATGTTCACGCAGCAGCTTTATTGTATCATCGAAACACTTGTCACGTGGTTTCTGGGGTAAAATTAGGTTGCAGTACCGTTCATATTCTACCGGACCCAATTTACGTAACAACACTCGCACCTTCCAGGCATCGTCTTGTGAGGCGAGATCAACTGTGAATAAATCCTCATATCGTTGATACCATGTGTCAAAAGTGACATTCGCATCTGGATTATAATTGAACTGTGAAATACTATTCACAATGCCGTCGACAGATGGTAGCATGGTATGATTCGGATTGCTTGAAGGTGAAGTTGGACCAGTCTATTGGTTGGCGAACATTTCCATTAATTTCATTTGTTGTTCGAATAGTAATTCCAATTTAGAAGAATCCATAGTTTTCCCCATCGCCAAATTATTATGTACTCGTCGCCAAATTATTGTTATGTACTGGTCGAGAATTTAATAGTCCTGACGCAAGAAAGACGGAAATCAGACGACCACTAGGTTTGCGATGGATACTTCTATTTTCCAAACACAAGGAGAATCAAATATGTATCACACAACAGTGTGAGAGCAAAATTGATATGTATCCACATATATATATTTATGTGTGTGTGTGCATGTTGGTCTCTCTTTCTATTTGCTCGCTTAGTCTGTGACCATTTCACTTGTATGAACTTGTATCCTTTAATAATGTGTATTCTCCTTATATTATATTATATATAATATGAGTGTTTGTTGACAGTCCGTTGCTTGGTGACATATATCCATATTATATGTTTGGATGTTGACATGTCTGCTATATGTATATATAGATCGATACTTCATTGTGATTAGCCATTCATGTTAAGACTGTCTAATGATTGTTTACACCCTTGTCATATATATATTTCGTTCTCACAATTCTGTGTGAACTACTTTACAACTACTTTACTTACTTACCACTTTGGTGTGAGACCATTTATTTTCGTCTCCTTGTGTTTGGACAATAGAAGTATCATCGCAAACCTAGTGGTCTTCTGATTTCCGCCTTCTCGCGTCAGGACTATTAGTTTCTCGACCAGACCATAACAATAATTTAGCGACGAGTACATAACAATTTGGCGACGGGGAAAACTAGTACTTAACAAAAATATATATGAATGTCCAAACAAGTGTGTGAACAAATCAATAGACAGTCTTAACATGATTGGCTAATTATAATGGAGTATCGATCCATATATACATAGCGAAATATAATAGACTGTCAAAAAAACACATTATATGGATATATATATCACCAAGATCAGTCTGTCAACAAACACACATATTATATATAATATAAGGGGAATATACATTGTTAAAGGAGACAGGTTCATCAAAGTGAAATGGTCACAGACTAAGAGAGCAACAGAAAGAGAGAGACCACCATATATGTATATATTATATATTTATATATATGGATACATATCAGAATCCCGTTCTAAAAATTTAGTGTTTTCAATGGTATAATGAAATGGTGTTATGTTATTTACATAGTCTGAGTAGCATTGCAAATACAGATAGCTGGAAGTGGATTATGATTAAAACACATTCTAAACAAACCAGTCTACTGAATTTTCCCAAATTCAAATGGCTTATTTCTACACTACTTACATGATGATTCTACAAAATTTTGGCGATGGTTATAAAAAGAATGATGTTACAATAGTAAGTTTCATAAATCCCCCGAGCCCTGATATTCATGTTTCAGAGGTACATAAATATGACAAAGTGTACAGTCACATGTACAACTCTCACCTAGAAACTAGAAACAAACAACACTATACTAATTATTCTCGAACGATTAGACAGAGAATTTAATCCAGTCCTGCGAGGAACTAAATACAATCAGAGTATATAAGGACTGACATATCCTGATAAGGATGCACTTCCCAACTTCTAAAAGATCATTTCTTCTTACCTCAAGCTGCAAATATATTCCTAAATGCTTGGAACGTATGTTTACAGCGTCTAAACGACAAAGTCTCTCAACAGCCGACACAAGAATAAACTGTGTATCGTACCTTCAAAATGAGAATCAATTCAACCTCAGTAAAGAAATGAACACCTGTAAAATGAATAAGCATTTCTTAAAACCAGCAATTATACGCCATAACTTGATGAAAATTTAAGTCATTACACAGAAGAAATATTGTTGATGAATTCGTAAAATAAGTGGCAAAACAAACTTACTTTGTCTCATACAAATCAGTATTCTCTTTAATTAACTTTTCAACTTCTTTCATCATGCCTAAACGGAAAATTGACAAAATAGATACCAAAATAAATTAGAGTATAAAACACAAATATTAACTGAAAGCAGAGTAAAGAGTAAGAGCGAAAAACTCAATCAACCCAGTGTGTTATGAGATCCAAAGGAAGTAAAAGCAAAGTGAATTCAGTGCATTTTTTATTTGAGAAGTAATGAATTAGTTGGCAGACATATTTACCAAATATAAAAGCATGGATTATACGTCAAAATAGAATAAAAACATTTACTGTTCATATCGGTCAAATAATAATAAATACAATTGTGGAAGTATATCAAAATTAAGAAAATTGTATAAATCTAACATTGATTAAATTTAGAAAACATCAGAACACTGATGTGAAACTAATTTCAAGTGTATAACCACTAATATTACATGTGGTGAAGCCGCTGTAGACTATTGAGATTTTTTAACCTTTGATTAAACAACCAACAACAGTAAGATAATATAAAACGAGCAACAAAGGTTAATAAGGCAGAATTTAATGGATTCATCAAATTTCGGTAGAATTCTTCAGCTGAACACTCTATACACAGAGATATATTATTGATATTTTATTCTGCCTCTTATCAGTAGCGTTATCTTAACTCGTTTCAGCAATATTAGTATAACTATTACAATTAATATTACTCAGTTCGCAATTCTTGATATAGTTAAGTTCATCTAGGTGATGTAATTGAATTGCAATGCATTTTATCTTAATTTTAATCTCTCATACTCCTTTCCCCTTATCTATTTGAACATAACCTGAAAAACATTCACACGTATTATTTTGCATGACCAATTCAATGTAGTTTACTTGTTTATCAATCTTATGTCTTCAAATGTATGTTTATATACCTGTATATAGAGTATTCAGCTGAAGAGTTCTACCAAAATTTGATGAATTCATTAAATCCAATTTTATTAAATTTTATAGCTATTTTTTAATTTGTATCGGGAAGAAATGTTTCCAGTAAGATAATTACAACAGATTTACAAAAACCAGATAAGTGAACTAACACCATTTATCTATGACACTGTGATAATGAATATATTGAATATGTGACTAAGACGCCTTATTACATTAACTTCATCTGTCTGAATGCTTTTGCTATGGGTACAAATGGATTAGGAAAGAGTATGACTGATAAGAATAAGAATATCATCGGCAGTATTGTTATTATTGTTGTTTATTATATTTAAACTTGAATCAGTATCTCATATTTACGCAGATATTTGTAATATGCAGATAAATATTAAGGCAGAAAATAATTAAGTGCCAGCAGCCTAAGTATAGATAGGCAGAGATGGACCACTGACACAGAGCAGGCGATAAACATAAAAATCCAGTGACAACGACTCCGGACTCCTGAAGTATTCGCAGTTTGAAGGGAGAACGATGTATTCTAAAGAAAAATTATTATAACCACTTAAAATATCATTCCATTTTTTGTGATGTAGCAGTGATGGTCAGATACATCTGATTCCGAATTAATTCCTACTTATTTCTGAATTCCCCTTGAAGTTCCAAAACACTTAAAGACCTCCAATGAATCAGTTACTGCCCGAATTATGCGGATGCCCGTTTTTATTTAATAGCTACATTATAGTGATACATGCATAAGAATTTATAGATTCGTGAGTAAACTTTTGAAGCATTTACAGACTAGGAGATGAAATTCGCGGAGTTTTGCTAGGTTGTGTGTGTGTGGCCAGTGTGGATCAACATGCGTAAGGTGGGATTCTTGCCGATAACATCAGACTGAGATGGCGTTTTATCACGGATTGACTGAAATTGGAATTCATATCCTAATAGAATTCAAATAAGCAGCTAACTGGTGACGTGCTCACCGAGTAACCTGAAGGTCGTGGGTTCCATCTCTTATGGGGTCATAGCTGTGTACTGTGAGGGGTCTAGAACTAGTGCGAAACAGTTGTTCAGTAGTCCCTGATTTCAAATGACTCTTTAACTTGCAGAAATCCTAGGTCCACACCACAATCCTCCCAAACATTCTGACTAGGCGGTGTTTTCATACATGGATGTTTAAATCCGAATTCAGGTACCACTTTCAACAAACCTGAACACTAAAATTTAGTACTTTCTAATCCAAGTCTTTGATTTCCTAACAGTAGAAATTGTATTACAATGAATGAGAACAACGTATAACTATGCTGCGGTGTTTATAGATATGCTGGACTGCATGAGAATTAAAAAATTATATGAATTATTACAAAGTCTGTGTACTGAGTTCAACTGCAGTATTGTCATGACACCTTCAACAACTTCGTTAGATTCATATTAGCTGTATTGTATTTGCGTCAATAATCTAGTAGTAGAACACTCACCAGCCAGGCACGTGGCTGGACTTCAATTCCCAGCCGACACACTCCTTGATGAAGAGGAAAGGTTGGACTACGTTGGCTAGCAACCTCACTTCATAGAAACAACACCACCGATACTGAAACTTCAAAGCTGAAGCCTGGGGTCATATGTTCCACTCGGAATGCAAAGGAATGAAAAAATATTATACTTAGTTCTAACGCTTAAGCCCATACATAAATATGCATACCCATACAAATGTAAACAGCTTAATAACTTATTCGTTTTTCAGTAATAACAACACATGCTTGGATACCTATTATGATACAAAAAAGTGTGACAGTTATGAAAATCATTTTTTAATTGATAACACTTGAATGACTTGCAGAGTTTTCAACGTAAAACTTTGCGCAGAAGTGCAGCAGTACAAGCCATCATACTCCATACAGAACACAAAGAGAGAAACAATTGAATATATATATATATATATATATATATATATATATATAAAATGAACAGAAATATACAAGAAAAAGAATAGGTATGTGTAGAATAATGAACATTTAATAGATCACAAAGAATGAATATGTATGTGTGCCCAAAGATCACGGAAGCACAGTAGTACTAGTGGTCCTTACATATTAAGAATGGCTCATAATATACAAAAATCCGTGTACAGCCTAACTCAGTTTCATCCTACAGCTGGAAGGCTATATTTCAAGAGTCAAATAATTTGTTGTTTAAAACGTAAGAAAAAGATCAGTGTAATACATATTCTCACAAAGAAGTAAAATCTTGCTTAGTCATATGAAACGTCTTGTGTTTAAAGACGATAATTGTAGGTATCTCAACAACACTTTGTCTATTAATAAAACGTATCTTCTAAACTAGAAAACTGCACAATTGTTGTCGATGTTAATTTCAAATAGTCTACAACCATGGTAAGCGAAATTATTATTGATCCGGCTGGATCTTATTGACTGAGTTTCAATGTAGAAATTAGCACAGAATACAGATGTTCAAGTTGTCACACTCCATGTAAGCATACAAATGTAGACAAAGGAAGAGATTCGAACGAACCTTAACAAGAAGAAATGTGAGGGGAAAAATAGTCACATGGAAAAACATGGTGATTCAGTGGATATGGGGGATCACAGACAGTGAATGATTCTCTGCCAGTTGCATCATAACACCTTCCTTGTAAGGAAATATGGATTTATCCCCTAGATATTTCTATGTGAATAGGTAAATAAGAAATATCATTATGCACACACATACACAGACACGCAAAACTAACAACCAAACATTTTTACAACAGTTTTACTAAACAATACTATTTAGTACTAGAACAGAAGAAACGATTCTTCTAAAACTGTACGTATTGTTCCATCGCGAATTAGAAGGGTTTCTGAAAACGGGCGTCAAACTATCTCTCTGAATTCTCTCATGGCAACTACTATGTTACACTAGCACAGGTATACGAAATAATTGTGAGGTGTCTCGGGTATATATGAGGTGAGATAATTGTAAGTAAAAGTAATTTAGATGAAAATGAGGTCCGGAAAAAAATTATGCCCAACTGTTAAAGATTGAGAAGTAGTTTAACTACTCAGACTCTTTTTTAGTCCGATCTTGTCAAAACTGATCGCACATGCATAGTGTCGCTATCAATAAAAGTTTACAATCTTATCAAATAGTTACTCTCTCGTCGTACACTATCTACATTTAAATTCTAATCCTATCAGTGTTGCTCTACAACACACGAACAGTGCTAATCATGTAACAGTAGTCAAACATCTAAAGTCTAATAGAATTTTTCATCATGAATTATACTTTGTGGTCATAAACACAAAAGGTACGGCACATTATTTTACAGAAGACGTGATATTTAAAAAACGGTTACAAATTGTCTCCATTATCATACATGGGGTACACTGATTATTCCCGACCGAAAGCTGCTACCTTGACGTGGTGGTCGGGCTTGAACACCGCAATGACCTAATCAAGCTATACTGGCTGAGACTTATGTCTCTTGAGGTTCTACCATGCCAGGCAGGTTGTTTGGATAGCGGTTAAACAAAAAGCAGCTACCCATCCAATACCATGATCCAAACAAATTCACAAAATTTCATGCCGGATCGGCCGTGGCCCGGATTAACAACGACCGCGCTTCCTGCTGCCGTGTCACAGGGCGGGAGTGATAAGTATGCTACTGAGGCACACCAAACAAAAAGAACGAACAAAAACAGGCCGCGTGTGACCGGCCTCAAGCAGTTGTCCCCTGGGCTCTGCGGTCACGCAACCAACTTCCACGGTGTGGGCAGCCGGGAAGTAACAATCGCCCTCACAATCCAAAACGCACACAAAACCTCTCTAATCCTCACTTATCTTTGTCTTCATCTTCATCTCTATTACCTTGCCTTCCTCCCAGTGATGCAACTCCTCTACTTGATGGCTCCTCACTCCCTCTTCACTCTGTGTCCACTAAAAACGACGAAAGCCAAAAAACCACCACGGATAGTCTCCTAAAGCCACGCCACCAATTTCATATAGGAGCATTTAATGTTAGGACACTTTGCCAAATAGGACAACAAGCATCACTAGCTAAGACCCTGGCATCTCGAGCCATTGATGTATGTTGTGTTTCAGAAACACGCATACAAGACCCAAGTGTGGTTA